CCCCTAAGTGGGGGGGGGGGGGGGGGGAGAATAATTTCACCTGCTTTGACATGTCTTTCAAAGCTACAGATCTGGAGGGTACCTTCCAAGCTAGATTACCTTGCATCCCTTGCGTATGTGTACTGTAGAACCTCTCAAAGGAAGAGTGGAGGCAGGCAGAAGGACCCTGATTCATCTGCTCCACTTTCTAAAATATTTTTATATGGCAAACAGAGTAAAAAAAAAAAAATCTGGCATGTATTAAGAAAAATTTTCCTAAGGACACAAAACAAAAACCTGAAAACCTGATTAGTCAACAGTTAAAAGTAGTGAAAGCCCAAATTATAATCTGTTCAGTCAATCACGCAACTAGTTAGCCAAAAATACAAAGGAGGAAAAAAATGTTTAAATCCTGTGTGTTTAAGAATTAAAGGGCATACAAAGATGATTAAGTTCTGTACATCATCAAATATAGTTCAGCATAAATATTACAAGTCAGATTCTGTGGCAATGTGACATGATTCAGAAATATAGGGAAAAAAAAAAAAGCACACAAAGCAATTAGGTCTTCTAACCAAATCTTCTAGTGGCACTGAAATTGCTTTTACTTTGCTTTCTAACCATAGTTACATCTGGTCAAATCTTTTATCTTTAGCTTTCTGCAATCACTGCCCAGAAACGTGGTTATAACAAATCTATACGTGTGCTTAACCTCAGAAGTTTTCCGAGTACTTAGACTTAGCCATTATATGTTAAATTAACATCAGATCAACTATTTCCATTCTGTTAACTACATAATCTTGGATGTCTAGCTTAGGCTTTAAAAACCCACAGTTGCACAGTAGTTAAGTGAGACAAACCCCATCCAAAACATCTGTAGCTGTTCAGGGAACTTTGAACAATTGTACCAGTATTGCTATTTCTGGAAACCTACAGAATTCTATCAAAACGCTGAAGTGCCTCAAAAGCAAAAATGACATAGGCTTTCAAAAGTCACAAAAATCATTACTTAAGATCTACTCCAATCTAAAAGCTCTCAAATATGTATCACCTTCAACATACATCTATCTCCCCTGCTCCCAGTGCCTCAGAAAACTTGATGACTGAACAGAACTATCTATCGGTGGACACACCAACATTGAGTGAACTGGAAAAGTGAAATTTATTATCCCATTTCCTCCTGAAATCATCAAACAGTATTACAAAAGAGAACTACAAAAATCCCTTCCAAACATAACATACACTATTATGTTGTACTCTGTCTACACAACTTACACTATCACCAATCCAGAGCTTGTGCTAAACAGACACTTTAGCACAACAGCAATTCAAAGTACTAGCTTGTTAGAAAAAAACAAACTGATTGTAACTGCCACTCAAGGTCACTGATTAAATTTGCCTATGCTTTGTAGATGAGAAAAAAACCTAATGGATTGCAGTTGGATGAACTAATACAAAATACTACTGAATACAGAAATGGTGATACTATTTTTCTTAGGACTGAAATATGTCTTAATCAGTAACTTTCCAATTAGCAATTTTTTCTGTGAGTCATCTGTGCTATTAAGAAAGCCTGAGGTTTTTTGATTTTCTCTTTTTTTAAAATTTTTTGTTTAAATCCACAGATAGTGTGATGGAGTAATATCATATAAAATACAAGTACAGATATTTTCCAGCATTTTCCAGTATGTAACTGCATGCACATAAAGAGGTGTTTATGTATGTCTTTTTTCTTTCCATGGGAAAACACAATCCTAACACAAGCCAGGAAAGATGATCCTTAAATTAGGCATCAAATTTTATCTTTAGGACTTCAAAATGAAAATTTAGGTTAACATGAAGTGATATGTGCATATACTGCCCTCATGCTGTATATAATACAAAATGCAGAAAATTTCAAAATCTTACAGTAAGAAGAAAAAACTTATTCTATTATTACAGTAACATTTTCTCAGGAAAAATATCTTCACAGAAGTATTTATTTTTCTTTCAAAATAAAAACTATACTTACAATAATATCTGTAGGTACTTCACGAAGTGAATACATTGGTTTGTTTGGTATATCTTTTTTACTCAGGAGCTCAAAAACTGCAGGGTAAGTGAGCAAGTTTATCAGAGACAGAAAAGACTAGAGAAAGAAAAAAAGGGGGGACAAAAGGGAATGTTAATCAGTTAAGTATAACCAAGTAAACATTAAAAAATATTTGCCATTTACTTTAAGTTTGTTCTTATCCTTTGTAGGCTGAACTTGACATAAATAGAGCTGCCCAAAATAGAACTGCAAACCCTGGCAGGTGTCTATATAATCTAAAAGGGCAGCAGCGTCTGTGAGATATGTATTATCTATCAAATTGTACAAGCAATTTTGAAAATTACAATATTTTCATTACCACATAATTCTAAAATCTAGAGACACAGCACGCTCTAAAACATGCCACTCTCCCTCATCTTACTACAGTAATCAGAGACATGAACTGATGGCCACTATTTTAAGACTTTCACTTTTGTCATGACTGTTATTTATTATTTTATATTGACTTTAATGGATCCTTGGCATTGTGACCTGCCATGCAACACAAGAATCCTTTCAATCAGTCATCATTTGACTAGTTTATTATACTAATTTTGCCCCACATGCCAAGAAGCAGGTATAGTTGCAATAAAAATTTACAGAAAGGTACGTATCACCCTATCTGAAATACAGCACTGTTTTTCCCATGCCAACACAGAAGATTAAGTAATTTCTCACCTTCTGACAGTTTTGGTCAATAGGGTCAACTGGAGTAGATTTGGGTTGGGTTATCCTCAAATCATCTTTTCCACACTCCAAAAGAGCCCACAATTCAGTTACAAGTGCCTTTATAAAGCCTAAAACAAATTTTTGTTCTAATCATGAGAATTGCAAGAATACCCAAAAAACCACTTTGATATTAAAAAACATTTTACACCACAATTCTAACTCAGGTTCTCAAAATTCTCTACACTGTGGACTAAAGTTTCACCAGACTGCCTGAGGGTTACTCTCCCTGCTATTCTTAATCCTTTAGTCAAACTACCTTTATATTCAATCTAAAATATACAGCAAGAGTTTGTAAAGACTATTATACTAGAGTAGGATGATATTTATATATCTTCCATGTAAAGGAGCTGCTGACCATCTTTAAGAAGTTAACTGCTACAGATCAAGGCTTAGCTGGTATTGGCTCTGTGGTTTTAAAAATACAGATTTAGTATAACTTATTAATAAATGAAAACATACCACAATGAAAAGTTAAGGACTCAAAAAAATCTTTTTAAGAGAAGTACTACTAGCTGAAATTAAAATGTTAAATATTAAAATAGAACAGGAAGGATAGCCATTTAACTCTGAAATCTCCAAATGTAAATTATAGCCTTAATACAAACTTTACGTACACTATACAACCTCCTCTCAGGGTTGAAGACCAATGCTGATTATTTTTGGTCTACCATTTGTCTTTGACGCCAAGGGCCATAAGAAGCAACTTGGCTGAGAACCTTAGACAGGACAGATGAGTTACTCCTCAAGCAGATCTGCTCCCTGCTTTCTGAAAGATCCCAGAGGCATAAATAATAAGCAACCAACAATCAGTTTCCTTGACTGGCAGAATTTGCCTGCCTTTCTGACAGTCTTTCACAGTTAAGTCATTTTAATTACACACCAGCCACTCCTAGACACTTAGAATATTTGCAACTTTTGTACCTCATGGAGTTCCTTAGCAACTTAAGACAGTAGCTTTACTTTACTGGTAACATTCTAGTTTTAACATAACAACTACCTAGACTGCTCAGTGGTATGGCAACAGTTGAGTTATCTGAGAATGAATCTGAAGGGACTTTGTGGTACGGGTTGACACATGAGAAGAATTGTCCATTCAGACAATCTCAAGTCCATCTCACTGTTGTATAAAAGTGCCAACGACATTCAGACCTTTGAAGTTTCTCACTCTTTGAGCAGTCAATAACCACAGAAAAGTACATACAAATTACAGAAATCAACAGTTATCAATTCTGATCTGTAGATGAATAAGAAGCACTTGCAAATTGTTAGCAACTTTTTTTTAACAGATATAAATGTCTTCATGCACATACAGGAAATTTCTGGAAATCCAATCCAATGAAGTAAAGATTTTGCATAATTTAAGGGGAAAAAAAAAAGCCACCCCAAAACAAAATCCTGCATCAAGATAAGTGAATGACTTAAAAGTTGGAAACAATAAATTTACATGAAGAAGAAATCAACAGACATTTAAGCAGTCTTTGCTAATACTGTGCAATTATTCCACTCAGTTGATCTTTTTTTAACAGCTTTCTCACAGTCTTTTTCTAATATGCAAGACTATAGCATGTAACTATTCATAACATCATTCTTCAATTTACCTGAACTCTGTAGAGCTACTGCACCTGTTGGTGTTGTTGCCATCTGTGTAACCATCACTCTATTACCAAACTCTTCATATTCCTTTGTCTGTTAGTAATAAACATAAAAGCACAGTATTAGTTATTTGGAGGGCATGAAACTATCAAATGATCTCTTAAATATTAATCTTTCCTACACTTGTTTACAGAATTTAATGTACTGTATGGTTAAACAGTTCGTAGATATTATTCTCTAAAGACTTACAAGGGTCAAATTCCAAACCAAACATCTTTATTGAGTATCTTATAAAAATTTAAATGCAAGATACTCTGCTTGAGACATGCAACATCACCAAAGAATAAAAATGTTAGTATTATAATGGTTTTTGCACACATTCAGTAGGATGTCTGTAACATTATGTTTTTTCTCCTAAAATGCACATTATACGGTTTTTGGTTACATGTCAAGTATTGTCTAGCTTATCTAGATTTCAATACCACCTACCAACGTGGACTACAAAAACTGGCACTTAGAAGAAAAAAAAAATATTTTTCCTAGCATTTCAAACTTTAGAGTAAAAAGTCAGAAAAACTAAATATATGCCTGACATTCTGAGGATGAGTAACATCCAACAAACTTAAATCAGTGTGGCAGCAAAATCAAAGATGATAAGCTACATTTTTAAACTCATTTTTGCAAAAATTAAGTGAAAAAAATGGTTTCTGAATTTATTTTCCTATTATTATCTTTCTTCTTTATTTTATTATAATCATTAAAAGAAAGAAAAACTGTACAGACTCTGTAATGCTTACCTGGAGTTTTTTTGATAAACTGCTGAACATAAAGTTCACACAGTCATTCATAGCACCTGTACTATGAAGCAGAAATAGTCCTTTGGGTGTGACAGAAAAATTTAGCAAGGCATCTAACAAAGTCTCTTCCCATAACAAACTGCAAGAGTAGCAAATGATAATTAAAAAAGATATGTAAAAAAGCATGGGGAAAAAGAAAAACTACAATTTCTAACTTTGAAAAACAACACAACTTCATTCACTGGACTCTTTACTCTATATGTTTACTTTACATTAGTTAAAAAAAATATTTGGGAAAGTTATATGTGTATGTCATAATATGTATATGACTGTATTTTGTACAAACATTCAAACTCACTCTGGCAAAACTTGGGTTAAATAGGAACACAGAACAGAAAGATGATATAATGGGGAACCCAAAAGACCTATGCCATCCTTAAACATACTTATCACTTACTACCTGACTCTAGACAAGTCTTAAGGTATTAACGTGGCAGTTACAAATTGGCAAAGCAGGCACAGCATTTCTCACCAATGTAAAAACACTATGAGGAACTAGTAAAAACCTCACATTTGAGGAGATAAAGGCTCCCGCTAGATATTAGTACAGAATTATGAAAATAAGGTGCTATATATACACAATAGCTTCATATACTAACAGCATTAAATGGAAAATATTTTCTACAGACATGGCAGGAAGAACAGCAATTGCAAGAATGAAGTATGATTATACCCTCTGCCCTACAAAATACTCTACGCCCTAAAAAGAAAAGTGAAGCAATTATATCACCTTTAACTAGGTACCATCCCTGCAGGTATCACTAGACTCTTGTCATTCTGCTTCTCTAAAAGCATTTGCTTACTGGATTCTCATCTCTAGTTCTCATTTCTCATTTTTGACTCCTATCACCAGCAAGCAGCATGCAGCTTTCCTTGTAGCAGTCAACCATTACCCCAAACTTTAATCACTTCTGCAGAATCCCTGCCATGTCATGTTCAGAGGCAAAAATTTCACCCAGAAATACATCAGCATGCCTTGTTCCTTAGTTAAATGAAAAAATCTAGACGCTAGGAGGAAATTGTAGCTTACGTCAATAGTAGTGATTAGTAACAGCTGCCTCAGTCAGAGCTCGGTATCCCTAAATTTCTTTTTACCACTAGATTTGAATTGCTATAACCAGTTCACATGCCACCACCACAGACCAAAGTAATAACTGTTGAGGTATCTTTGCAAATTATACATGAAATCTAAGGTAAAGTATAAACAAGAATCTACTTAACTAACTAGGTTCTGCACTAACACCAATATCACCCTGAATTTTCAGGCCCACAAATATTTGTGTATTTCTCATCTTAACACATACAAACTTCTATAAAGGGACATTCAGTTTGAGTATAAAAGGAAGGATGCCTTTCACTTAATATGTATCAGGCTTTCAGCTAGAATGCTGCCAATCTTGCTACATAATATTCTGAAGGTGTAGATACCATTCAGCAGAACAGCATTTTAAATTAACACCACATCAAAGCCATAAGATAAACTCTGACAGCTATTTTGTTTTATGCTTTCTAATTCACATTTTCCTCAAACCAATTTCTGTAGTCAGAGAGAATCAACTCTAAGTCAATTTTACATAGATTAGACACAACTCTAAGCCAAAAAAGTCCTGAAAGGTCAAGAATAATTTTGTAACTCTACTGAGACCTATGCTAGGATGATTTCACTCCCTCTACCTACCACTGTGCTTTTGGCAAAAAGACACAGGTTGGTAAGGTGCCTCAAATCGCAGATAAAGTAGCAGTGTGTGTTCATACTTGTGCACGTGCATAAATTAAGCATCAACTTACATGTTTTTTGACTCTAGACTTATTGATGAAGTTGAGTCCGCACCAGTTACAGGAGTGGGTACTCTTTCTGAAAGCAAACTTGTCTGTGAAATAAAAAATAAATAAATACCTCCTTACTGTTTATTTACACCATTTTCAAACTCCAGATCTTGCTTGTTCTCTTGTTATATATTAAAAAAAAAACAAACAAACAAAAAAAACCAACCAGTGATCAGGTTGTAGTCTAGCCTTTGGCACAGAACAGACTATTCCACTACATTTTTTATTCCACAAAAGCTTATTTTTTTTATTTCTTCCCTGGATATAAACCATTTTAAAGCTAGTACATTCTTTTAAATTTTTATTAGAATTCTTAAAATAAAAAAATCTTTATAGTTTTTAACTGGAGACTCCCAAAGCAAAAATCAGCATTAAAAAAAAAAATATATGAAAAAAATCAGAAAGCAACCCTTTACTTCTGCCACAGGTAACGGAAACAACAGCCTCTGCAGTCAACGACTCAATACCAAATTTATTAAGTAATTCTGCCAATTTTTATTTTATTTATTTATAAATTTATAAATTATATAAATTTATCTATATTGGTAAGGATATAATTAGAGCTACATAGATAAATAGATATACATATTTTTATATTTGATGGAGTTTCCAATTTAAATGGTATTTGAAAATAATTGGTGTGAAAAACACTGTATATTGAAGATAAATGATTTAAGTTGTTTTATGTTTCTAGGCATAAAAAGCAAATTCACAATTCAAATGAAAGTGAGTAGTCATTAAATTACTCTCTTATGTGATCTAATAAATCCACAAAAGATTCCTCTATTAACAGATCCAAGACAACTAACTAGTTTAAGTTCTCCTTTTATTATCATCTGTACAAATTCTGTCCCAGAATTCCAGCAGAATCTGCCAAGAAAAAAAATTGTTTCTCCATCAGTCTTAAAACTCCAAGAGACATGTAAAATAGGGGGAAACAAATTACCAGTCTATCCATTAAAAAAATTGTCACTACTGCTTGGATAGAGCCCACCAAAGTCCACCATTTTTGCTACACTATAAATGGCAAAATACTTATAAACCGCAGATGTTTTAAAATTGAACAGTGACAGAAAATAATTTTAAAATTAATCAAGATGGCAGAGTTGAAAATGTGGCTTTCCTGTACTAACTTGTCGATTCCTGAAGTCTTTAATATGTACATTCCACTTCAGTCTCAATCTGACCTCCAAAGTGATGTGAAGAAATAGCATTTTGTCAGATAAATATTTGTTTCATAATTTTTTTTTTTTAAATTCAACACATTCAACCTACTTATCTTTTATGTGTCAAAACAATTTTTCTAAATGATGTTCTATACCATAATAAAGGATTTTAATGTGCAAAGAAGTCTTTTGTGCATGTGTAAATGCTGTGGTGTTTTACAGCGAATAACTGGAAGTGCCCATCAAAAGCATGTAAGAGTCTGCCTGTAATAAACATTAAATAGAATAACAGGCTAGTTCAAAACTGACTAGTTACACAATAGGAAAACACAAAAAGACAGATTGTTGAGTTATGTAAATTACAGCACGATTCAAGTGAACTAAACTCCTTAATACAATAAAATCCTACAGTTCTCAATGCAGGGAAGACCTTAAGTTTCAAAACCAACATTCTTTGATGAGAAACAGAGTTTACTGTGATATAATTAGGATTTTAAGTAATAATATATTTTGTTTTCAATCAAAATGTATGCTTTCATGATAATATTCATATATAAAAGCAGTGAGAAACACCCACAAGCTGCTGATTTAAGTCTCTCTTCTATACGTGTTCTGTCTTTCTGGTATTTTCTGCCTCAGTTTACATTATGACTGTATTTTTAAAATTTCTAATCACACTAAAAGCATACAGCATTTGACAGAAAGAATAGCTATTCATTCTCTTTCCCTTGCATTCAATCTCTCTCCTGCTTCCTCACCTAAAAAAAAAAAAAAAAAAAAAAAAAAATTTTTAGTTTTTTAGCCAATTTTTTCTTCCAGTTTGGTCTGATCCTTCTCTAAGAAAATATTTTACAATCACTGGAGGAAAAAAAGAGATGGTTCCATTTTTCAGTATAAAGTGAAACAACACAGCTAAATTTTGGGTTTCCACTAAGAGTTCTAATACCTGTAGTTTAAACATGCTTTTAAGTTTTGCTGGAAGTCAAAGTTGAAGCTTAGTATGCTACCCTTACCTAAATGCTGCCAATGTTACTTTAATGATTCAAACGCCTGTTTGAATTTTACTTCACTGTGAACTTTTTCAAAACTGTTCTTGCAGCATCTGCTGTCACTTTTCCATCTTAACTATAATTTTATAATAGTTAAGAATTTTCACATTGCATATAGCTATCAGAACAATGAAAATGGAAAAGTTTAGTGAAAAAAGCAAAGATCCATATACCTTGTTCAGTAAATTTATGACAGAAAGCAGAACACAACGAACAGTTGGACCCAAGTTCTTTTATGCAGAAAAAGCATTAGACTCACAATCAAACTGAAGTTGAAGTACAGAGTCTACACTTCATAAGATATCCAAGCACACAGGTAAGACAAGAACTCCCGTCTGGCACTTCTCATTATGGTTTCTTGAAAATATTTCAATGGCATCCAGCTATTTAAGTCAAATATTTGGAATCTCCTTTTTTTCCTCCATATCTCTCACCAAAATGAACTAGTTTAACCTAAAAATTACTAAGACCACATCTCAGGAGTTTTTCCTTTCAAAATATCTCAAACCGAGAGTGAAGACAAGATCTGTGGTGACACTGGCTATCATGACATCAAGTGACTTCTAGCATCAAGGACAATGAATGATAGGTCTATCAAAGCATCTTGAGAGTTCCTGGTTTAATCTTAAGGCATAGAAGTCTCAAACTAAGCTTCTGCTAGGTTCACATACAGAAGGAAAATTTGAAAAGTAGAACTTCACTTTTAGAACAATTCCAAGCATTATCTCACTAGTTAAATATAAGCAACCTGAAGCAAAGAACAACTGTTACATAAACTGAACCTCTTACAGTAAGATTTTTTTTTCCAATCTTCCTAATCCAATACAAGATTTACCTTTTTCCAGGCCTCTCCAATAGATTCATGCAAGCCATAAGGAATCACCATCTGCAGGCCTTCACAAGTTCTGTACATCTGACGACATACAAAAATGAAAGCTCCTTTAACAACTGGCAAATGCTCGGATCCAGATAAGAGAGAAATGTCGTCATGAAGAAGTTTCTTTGTAAACTGAACAATTACATGAACAGCTGTAGGACTAGAAATAAAATAACACTTTTAAAATTTTGTTTTGTAGTTATCAATAAGCCTTGTAACAAATCCTCTAACTAAACTTATTTAAATTTTTCTAGGGGAAAAGAAACTATGGAAAGAAACTATGACCCACTATGGAGGGGCCAACTATATTATAACTCGTAACACCAGTCAGAAGAAGAGAAATGTACAGCAAGTGATTTTACTTTGGCTACATAAAGCAAAAGCACATCCATTGTCTGCCATCCAGCCCGCATCGCCATGAACTACACAGACTGTGTGTTTTATAGGAGTCCAACTGGGAAGAGTAACAAGACAATCATTTTAGCTTCTGCTTAATCAGTGTTAAGGATATCACTACAAGGAAAAATTTGTCCTTGCTCTTCCTTTTTCCTATCCGAGATCTCCCTCTGAAGTCTTCTGGGTTTGCAATGCAAAGGACAACTCTTTCTCCAAAATATTATCTTTTACTTCCAACCCCACCTTAAAAATATATGCAACTTCTGAGATTCCTCCACTTAGAAGACATACATTCCAAACATTTTCACAACCTGCAGCTTAGATATTTTTAAAGACCAGTCTTAATTTTACTGCCCTGTTTCAAGTTTTACATCAGCTAACAACATACAACCCGTAGGATCACACAGATCCAAAGTTAGGTACAGTGTTACGAATGTCAGCTTCTGATACAAAGATCTGTCTCTACCACATGTATTGAAAAGTGAATGAATGCTACATTAAATCTATTCTTCCAGTAAGTCACATTGATTTTTAATATTTATTCTAAAAACAAACAAAAAACAGAGAAGAGAGGCCTTTGGCCTGAATAGTAGCACTATGAATATAATGGAACTACATTCGGATAAACAAAAGCTCTCCATAAATAAGAAAAACAAGTAAACCATGGAAATCCCCCTTAATAAAGAGTATTTCTTTAAATTGTCACTTCACCTGATTATACCCATAAGTGTCTCCCTAATACATTGTCTAAAACACTTACTACTTTACTTGATAATCAGATATTTTACTCCAAACATCAACAAAACATACAACATCATAGATAAATGAAAAAAGAGAAAATTAGTCTCATAAGACTAACGTAATTCATTGAAGTACTCAATAATGCCATTCATTAATGCATTCTTACCTATCATCTTTGGCAGTTTTTTCATTTTCTCCATAAAGAAGGAGAGAAAGACCATCTTCTACAGCAGCAATCCTTGCCAAAATATCAGCTACATCAATTAAAGTGGTTTCAAGACAATTTATACACATCTATTTGGAAGAAAAAAGAAGAAGAAAAAAGTTTTAAATTCAATGCTTTTGTGAAAGCTGTTTATTCAAGTCTGGCTTATGTATACAGAACTTGAAGGTCACCTTTCCGATGATTGCTTAATGGCTTAAACAAAATAAGTAAACAACCTATGTTCAAACAACACATAGAAATCTTCATCACAAATGGCAGTAATTGCGACTTCTAATGATGATGGCAGAAGTCCAACGACTGAACGGATATAGAGAACATTTTTAAACTCCTTTTTCTCCTTTCCCACCATGAATGTGGAAAGGCTCTTGATAGGCCATGTAGGGGTATAAGAACAATACCTGAATCAAGGGGAGAAACATGTTAATTCCCTCATTGCTGCATATGTATTGGCAACTCTTTGGCTAGAAATGGAATTCCAGTTTCTAAGATCTTTGGTGTCCACCTCACTTCTAGGCTGCAGGAGGACGAAACAGCCATTTGTTTTGGAATCATGATGAAAGTCTTCTCCACTGGAGCAAAGCAAAAGTCCTCTACCAGTTTCTTCCTGCAGAGCACTCTATAGCCACAACTAGGCTGTAATCAAGCAGACTTGAACATTTAACACTGGGATTCAGACTGTTCAGTACAGTACCATGACTAATGAATGTACTACCCAAATTAATGTTAAATTGGCCATTGCTTGTTAATAAGTGAAGTCAATATTCCAATGGTGGACAAGTAGAACATAGGTGTTCCATGAAGAACCTGTCAGGGAGCAGCAAGGGCAGGATGCTCTGCGAGGACAAGAAGCCAGGAGCTGAGCTTGATAACGAGGCAGGCAGAGCCAATGTTTTGCTATTGAATGGGCAGGCACTCCCACTATACCCAAGCAAGGTGAGCAGATGAGGTCCAGTGATAGTAAGCGGGTTCACCCAACAGTCCAGATCCCCTCCACAGTGATGAGGGAGGTCCAAGGTTAAGCCAGGAAGCCAAGTCAGTGAGTTGGGGTCAGCTGCAGACATAGTAACCAGGGTCAGATACAGCCCAATGATCACCACACAACTGGATTTATAGTGACAAGGCAGGTCTGAGGTGAAGCAAACCAAGAAATCAAGTCTGTGGGTCAAGGTTCAGATCAATGGGACAGTAGGCTTCAATACTGCTACAACATAGTACAGGCAGGGAATGAGGACAAGAATGTCATTTTAAAAAACAGTAAGCAGAAGGTGGAGCAAGTCCACACTGAGGCTTATTGGCAGAGTCATCGCTGGGGGGATCTCTGCCGAGGCTTCCTAGCAGAGCTTTCCCAAAAAGCTCTCTTCAAGGCTTGACATCCACACCATGAGCCATGCTGGCCCTGAGCCCAGGCTGCCAAGCCCAGGGGAGGGGAACTAGGGGGCAGATGTGCTGAGGGCCTGACAGTAGACAGTAGCTGCAATTCTGAGAGGTGCTCACCAAAACTCTGCTCATGTCCATATGCCTCAGTAATGCAGTCATGAGATAGCCAGAGTGTACCTTCTCACCCAGGGACTGAGAAACACCCCCAATTCCTAGGATTTATGCATAAACATACTTACAAAGAAGGAGAACAGTTTTCAAAGTGAGAAGTCCCCTTTGGTAACTTCCCCCTATCCACACCCAGCACAACTCAGTGGAGTCACCAGTGAGATGACTTTTAGGCAGGGATGAGCTAGGAGGGAGTACTGTTCCCAGTAACACTTGTTAAATATCTAGTATGTCAGAATGGGGAATAAAGCACCACTCTCCTGAAGTTGAAGTCCACTGCTTAAATCTTTTCCCCTCTTCTATTGCTCATCAAGAACAGCTGGACTCACAAGAGAAATTATTTTTAAAATGCTATGCAATCCAGCTCCCGCTTCTTCTCTTACAGGTAGCTCTACAATTTATATAGTGCACAGAGAAAAAAATAAATAGTCTTCCTACCTTAAAATTTAAAGAATTTACTTTTAATGCCAGTGGTCAAAGTAACCCAAGAGAAAAACAGAAATTCAACTTCGGTTTTTTAGTTAAAATTTTCAGTGATAAGAGAGTTAAAAATCTCCCTGACCTTTTATTTTTAGGTTACTGGGTATCATTGTTCAGAATTCTAAGAAAGGAACATTCTGTGCTGTCACTGTTTCTTCAAGAGTGTTATTATTTTGCTTTCCCTGTGCAACACAGAAAAAAAAAAGGTACTTTATTTAAAATGTGGATGCAATGTTCTGCATCAGCTATGCTTCAGCAGCAACTCAGAGGCTACAGAGCCCAAAAGGTCAATACTGCTGCCCACAAACTGATCCTTCTGACAACTCCTGCTCATAGCCACTGAGTTTCTCCTCCCCCCTCTACTACAGATACACAATAGTACTCTGCTTAAAAGGCAAGTAAAGCTTGCACTTACCTGAGAGAATTCAGAGCTCAAATGTAAAATAACAGCACTGTGTTTGCTCATTAGGCCCACCGTACAGCCAAGGAGCCCCATATGCAGCTCCAGTGCTACCTGCCTCCCAATCCCAGCTGAAGGAAGATGTATGCATGGCCATAGCCTTCCTTTTGAGACAGGCATGGTCCACTACTAGAGTCCAGCACTAGGATTCTTGGGTGTCTAAGAAATGCCAATGGTTTGGTTGGGAAGCAAAACCAGTTCAAATTCTTGTAAAAGAGGAAGACGGTCACTCTGACTTGGTCTACCTTTTCTAGCTATTGGTTTGCCAGATGCAATACAAAACAATTTGCACCTTTGTTAGAACAGATATGACATATTCCAGATTCACAACACATAACCAACCTACTACAGTACAGCTACTGTGCATTAAATATTCCTGAACATGACCTGACTTTTTTAAACAGACCAGTTACTAAGTCACAGGAGGGCTTACAATTTTTTTAAGAGTTCAGCTACCTACAAGAGACAGCTGAGCATGGCATAAACGAAAGTAAGGGAAGAACTGCTAAACTTTGAGATAATTTCTTTTTTAACTACTAATGTAAAATAAAGAAGAGAGACAGTTGTATATGCTTTAGAATACCACGTGACCATAGAGATTGCCTATGGGATTACACAGGCCTCCATCACAGCAAATCAATGAAGTATTGCCTTAGTACTCTTCTTAAATTTGACTGCCAGTGTTCAAAGCATATGCAGGCTCAGTCATTTTTTTGTACTTGTAAAAATTTGCGCTAAATTTTTCCAATGTACATTAAAAAAAAAGAATTAATCTTACAAAAGCATACACATAGCCTTATAATGTATAAGTAAATGTATACTTATGTATACTTAAATGTATAAGTAATGCTACTGTACTTGGTACAGATACCCAGGGAAGAGCTAAATTATTGACATGATCAAATTTTTGCAGGACTATGGTTTTAAGCTTTACAGAAATACATACTTTAAAATATTTACTTGGAAACTGATTGTTTACACTTTTGAAATAGCACTGGAATATTTTTGTATAGGTAAAAATATATTCAGGAATTAATACAAAGTCTTTTCTGAAAAATAAACAAACTGCACTGAAAAAATAATCAGAAGGATACTTACAAAATTCAACTTTAAGAACCTAGATGAGGTATTTAAGTTAGGAACCCAGACTGTCTTCACAAGCATGAGTCTCAGGAAGTAAATTCAAAACTTCTCAGCTGTTGTGACAGCCAACATGGCTTCGCTACGGGCAAATCGTGATTCACAAATATTCTGGCCTTCTACCACGGGGTTACAGCATCAGTGGATAAGGGAAGAGCAACAGATGTCATCTACCTGGACTTGTGCAAAGCATTTGATACTGTCCCACACAACATCCTTGTCTCTAAATTGGAAAGACATGGGTTTGATGGATGGACCACTCGGTGGATAAGAAATTGGCTAGATGGTCACACTCAAAGAGTTGCGGTCAACAGTTCGATGTCAAAGTGGAGAACAGTGACAAGTGGTGTTCCTCAGGGGTTGGTATTGGGACCACCACTGTTTAACATCTTTGTCGGTGACATGGACAGTGGGATTGAGCACACCCTCAGCAAGTTTGCTGACAACACCAAGCTGTGTGGTGGAGTCAACTCACTGCAGGGAAGGGATGCCATCCAGAGGGGCTTTGACAGGCTTGAGAGGTGGGCCCGTGCAAAACTCACGAAGCTCAACAAAGCCAAGTGCAAGGTCCTGCACAGGGGTCGGGGCAATCCCAAGCACAAATACAGGCTGGGCGATGAGTGGACTGAGAGCAGCCCCAAGGAGAAGGACTTGGAGGTGTTGGTTGACGAGAAGCTCAACACGACCCAGCAATGTGTGCTTACAGCCCAGAAAGCCAACTATATCCTGGGCTGCATAAAAAGAAGCATGACCAGAAGATCAAGGGAGGGGATTCTCCCCCTCTACTCCACTATTCTGAAACCCCACCTGCAGTACTGCGTTCAGCTCTGGGACCCCCAGCATTAGAAGGACACGGACCTGCTTGAGTGGGCCCAGAGGAGGGCCACGAAGATGATCAGAGGGCTGGAGCACCTCTCCTGTGAGGACAGGCTGAGACAGTTGGGGTTGTTCAGCCTGGAGAAGAGAAGGCTCTGGGGAGACATTACAGCAGCCTTCCAGTACCTAAAGGGGGCTGACAAGAAAGCTGGAGAGGGATTTGTTACAAGGGCGTGTAGTGATAGGACAAGGGGTGATGGTTTTAAACTGAAAGAGGGTAGATTCAGATTAGGTGTAAGGAAGAAGTTCTTCACTGTGAGGGTGGTGAGGCACTGGAACAGGTTGCCTACAGAGGTTGTGGCTGCCCCATCCCTGGCAGTGTTCAAGGCCAGGTTGGATGGGGCTTGGAGCAACCTGGTCTAGTGGAAGGTGTCCCTGCCCATGGCTGGGGGGTTGGAACTAGGTGATCTTTAAAGTCCCTTCCAACCCAAACCATTCTATGATTCTATGATTAGTTTCTCTCAAAGTCTCTTTATGTCAGACAGCTCAGGCTCTTCTATGGGCAGTTCAGACCCTCAGCCTCTCTGTCTTGAGACTTACAGTCACGTAAATCAATTAAGTCATCTCAGTCAAAACAAAAGCAATAGGACAGGCAGAAACTATAACTAGACTTTCAAGTACCTAGAGGTAGATAATTTTTCCCAAGATTTTTACAGTTCTTACAGAAATGTTTAAAAAAAAACAAAACAAAAGAGTCCACAGACACCTCTTCCTTTTACCATTTCAGAAAATAATAATTTTCTATGAAGAATTGCATGTTTTACCTATACTAATTATTGAGAACATTTAACTTCAAGTTGCCAGCAGAATTTAAAAAGGAATAAAAGTAGGTTGCCTTTTAAATGGCAGGTAGAGCAAATAAGTATCCAAGAAATATCCAAAAGACACACAGAAACATTGCAAGAAAAAAAAAAATTAAGCGATGTGAAGAGAACGGTCTCACTACAGCACAATTTTTGCTAATATTCACAAGATTTCAAGAAAACCAAGTTTGCCAGGCCAACAATAACGACAGGCTACGCTATTTAAAGCATACTATAATAGCTAATGTAGAAAATACTACAGAAGTTACCATGTGACTAAGTCTTCTACACAGTAAATACATAAAAATGATAATATTCTATAGATTTAAGAATTATTTCAAAGATTACTACAAACCTCTGTGCCACTCAGTAAACTTTGAACAGGATGAAGTAGGGCATCTATCACTGCATCCGTATATAAACATTCAGCAGCACATCCTGTTTGATCACAAAAAACTTGCAGAATCTCCATAACAAGACTTGCTGGAGAATAATTGTCTGGTGAACACAAAAAGCATTTGTTTATATTTTAACTTACACAAACATACCTATATGGCTTATGTAGATGCTTCTGAATTATAACTTTGTTAAGCACTGATTTAACACAGTTAGAGGGAAGAAGGAAAGGTAAGGGAGGAAGGGAAGAGAAGAATTTGCACAAATAACAGACCCAAATTAAAAACTGCAAAAGAAGTTACCACATGCCTCATTATAATTATATATATATTAGCATATATTAAAAACAAACATTTACCTGTATGCACTGCCAACGCTGTCTTTGGGTAACTTGGAGAGTAATAAATAAGCTGAGTAAATAATACCAACAGACCGGTAATGGATACACCATCTATTTAAAAAAGAAAAAAAAAAAAAAAAAAAAAAAAAGGAAGTACTCTGCAAATTGAAGTGCAACTTTAATTTCACAAATAAAATGGATTTTGTAAATATACGTAAACAATGCTTTGCTTTATTGAGGAAAACAACATATGTACAACTCAAAGCAAAGGAGATGCATGTCCCTGGGACTCTACCAAGGTATTTCACAATCAACTTAAAAGGCTTGATCTTGCTCCCAGTTTAGCCATTTGCAATTTTACCATGTCTTCCACTGAAACAAATGGCCGCCAAAGTTTGAGAATGCCAAATATACACGGCTGTAGGAAAAAGCATTACCTTGCTATTAGATTAAGTGAAACAACTGGAAAAGAGACAACTCTTCCTCAGGCCTGAAACAAAAACAACAAACATGTAGCTAAATGCAGGTTGGGAACTATTGCTCCAAGTTTAATGTAATTAAGTTAATAAATCAGACAATTTGTGAGGAAAGGGTTGCTATCTATGAAGCTGAGAAGGAGACTATTAAGAAGACAGATGGTGTTATTGTTACTTTTGTAGGGGAGAGAGAAAAGCAACCATCACCAATGGATCACTGCTTGAATGGTGTTATACAGATAATCCATAAATGACAAAAGCACTCGATTAGTAGATGTTTCTTCCTCACAACTGTTCTACATTGGATCTATTAAGTCCTGATCCTCAAACCAGAGGGACAAAATACCTTCAAAAGACAAGTCTCAGAATTAGTATCCAGTAATGTTTTGAATTCTACACTGAATTAATAGAGATACTAATGTAATGGAACACTACAATTGTTCTCACACACCTGCATTTGCCAACCTGCACAACATATCACCATATGCAGATTTCTCTGGATGTCCAAGGGCTTTTCCATCTCATATATTGTATCCTTATTAATACCTCTGTGCCACAGGTATCGACCTTTTCCTGTACCATTGTTTTACCTTAATTATATTAATAGGTTAAACTCAGAGCAATTGTCTTCAATTTGCAATTAGCTTGAAATACTGATTTTGTTTCACACTTGACAGTTTTGGTCCCTGGACGTGTCTCTCTTCCAGCCAATTTTATCAATCGGTTTGACAAAAGGTATTACTCATACCTAGAAAGACTGAATCACTTACACACTGATCCAACTCTTCTTCAACATGAAATTAATATAGTAAATGTAAGGATAAAAGCAATTTATTCAACCACATCCATCAAAGATTAAAAAACTGTTGATGCTCAAAATTACCTATACCATCTTTTAAGAAAGGTTTCCAAGCACAAAATCGCTGAACAGAGTATTGTCCTATAATGTCCACAATATTGCAGAGGAAACATGTATCAAGTATGGACAAAGTGTTGCTCAACAGGTTCCATTTTCATCAGCCCTCCTCTTACCTTTTTTATTTTTCAGCTGTACTGGAAAGAGATTTCGGCCTTGCTTATAGATCAACAATCTTCCTAGAAGGCATAGTGAATGAACAAAACAGACGTACTGCAATTCTGGTCCAGTGTAAGAAAAGTTCTGGTTATCACCTTTAACAACAAAACAAAAAAAATCAGAACTTGACTCTCTTAGTTTACTTCACAGTATCTAGCTAATACCTGAAACGTACACAGATCATTTTGCTTATAAAGACAGACAGTTTAAGTAATTAACCACTGCTGTTAGTGTTCTCTCAAAAGATGGATATACAATATTTTGGGAAGAAAAAGAACAGATAGAACATCTTCCTCTTGAGGTAGCATGCTCAAAGACCTAGAGAATGTGGATGTATGTGCATATAATGCAAGACATGCAAAGATACTCACTACAATGCTGCTGGGAGAAATCATTGACTCTGGAATTTTTATTAACTGCTGCCTTGCAAAATTCAAAATAATCAAGACATTGCTGGACAGCTGCATTAATCTGTGGAAAAAAAAGCACAAAATAATAAAATACCTGGTATTTTACAATTTAAGTCATTCTCCCTTGTATCCAAGGACTGTCCTTTAACACAAGAACCTAAATATCCACTTCACTGCAATTACCTCATGTTTCAGTGCTTTAGATAGGCTAACCAACAGAAGGCCAAATTTTACAGGGCTATTAAAACACACTGCCACTATTATTACATTATAACACTACCAGGTCTATAAGCATTAAGACAATCTATAAAAGAGAGTACAGAAAACATGCAAGTATTTTGAGAAGTTAATAGCAATCTGTGATTGCCATATTGTTATAACCATGGAAGATTTTCATCTTCCACACATGAAAAACTTTGACTTGAATACACTTGACTTGAATAAACTGTAAGTTTGGTTGTTGGGTGCTGTCAGTGCTTTTAATTTCTTTGCAGAAGAGTTGTATCATTATCATCTAATCAATGTATATAAAAGTTTAAAAATTATCAGCATGGATTTAGAAATTAATCACAAATACAGTACATAAACAAAGTACATTTAGATGTAGATACATTTATTACAGTTTGGAGGTGCTAAGACTTATTCACAAGTGTAAGTAAAATATACAGACATACCCAATAAAAACAAATACTTAATTGAATGTTTACTTTATGCTTATAAATTAGATTAGACTACCCTGCTCACGGACTTCCTATTATAAACTTTTTGTTGCATGGAACATGCTTTATTCCATGCTCTCTTCTATGCATACAGATAAACAAGACAAACGTCTTTTATAGCTGTCTGTATCCTTGTCTCCCATCTCAAGGTTTTATCAGTTACATATCTTTTACATTATATTCCATTTGTATTACAAGATTTTACAAAACATAGCCAAAGTCCTGTCTATATCAGTGGATCTCACATCTATATTGGTCTTACTGAAAACAATGAAACTTCCACCCCAGTGAAGAGATCTGCCCACCCAGAATATGTGATAGGATTAACGTCTACATCACTGAAGATGTTTTCCTAGTTTGATTTATTTTGCTGACATTTTGAATCCTTAATGCTTCATATCCTAACTTAAAGAACACAATGGTGGTTTTTTAATCTCTTTCCACCAAAAATCCAAATTCAGCATAGAATTTTTGTGATATTTTTTCATGCACCATTTGCTATTTTTATACATTGTCAGAAATAATTCTAAATATGAATGCAACATAAGGAATTAATAAATAATAATCCTAATTAAACACCTTCTACAAAACATCCAAATTTCCCCTTACTCAGAGCTGTCACATACCCTTCTTTGCACTTAACAATGATTCATTTAAGCAAAGAGAAAGTTAAAAAAAAAAATTAAAATCAATAAGGTTCATCTAGCTAAACAACATGGAACAGCTCTGACAAAAGGGGAAAAGGAAAAAAAAAAAATGCTCAAACCACAATGTGCAAAGCAAGAACAAGTTCCAAGTAAATTTGCCTTGGGTATACTTACCAAAGATTTATACTTCTTTTCCAAAAGCCTAAATACCACTGCTCTGCTGTAATACGCATGCTAAAATGACAAAGAAGACCTAATGTCAACTTCAAACATGTAAGTTTTATTTTCTAATTAAGAAGTAGAAATCATCTCTGATTCTGTTCTATTAGGGATCCTGTGCACAGTATATATTCAATGTATTGAACTCCAGCTTGTATAAACCAGTATTAAACTCAATGGAGCCTTTTTTTTGCACTACATCTAAGATGACAAAAAAAACTAAGTCATTCGAAAAATGTGTAGCAGAACATGCAATAAACAGAAAAATAACTACACTGAAATGTAAGACTATGTGTTCTGACATTGCCATGTAAATCCCAAATTATAAGTTTATATACGGTAGGCTGCAAAAGGCTCTAACGTCCGCTGGCGGTTCGCAAGTCGGGTGCAGCATATCATATATGTAACTGCACTTTCACGCTCATCACTTCTTCCAGAAAAATATTTCTATCTTTTGATAGCTGTCAGTCAATTATGACAAAGGGACTGAAGTACCAAAGCGCAGTAAGTTCTCAGAAATTTTATGAAAACTAGTGACTGAATAGAAATGGAGGGAGAGAGTAGTGCTAAAGGGCAAAGGACATAAATGAGTAAAAAAAAAAACAACCCCAGACTTCCTTAATGACAGTGCTCATTATAGGTTGTTATCAGGTCACAATAGGTCTGTGATAACAACAGTCATAAATCAAACTTTTCAAAATATATGTTAGACATGAACAAGTTACGGGGTTGTTGGGTTGGGATTTTTTTGCGTACCGTCCACTTTTTAAACCATACTGCTTTGATATCTAGCAGAGCCAAGAAGTAGACTGGACTCAGAAAATCTGGAGAGGCAGGATGATTAGGCTCGTGTTTTACTGACAAAAGTGACAATGTACTCTCCACTACTTCTTCCATGTACCTTATGACACAAATAGGAAAAAATGAACAGAAAACAAAAATCACTTAAATCTTTCCACCAGTAATACTCAGGAACAAATTTCTGGTAAAACCTCATTGTTCAGAGAAATCACAAATATCAACATTATCTTTAACTTAATCTTGTTAGGACATTAATTCTTTGTATTATGATGAATAAAATTAATAACATACATGTGTATTCTGCTACATGATAACATATTTTACTACACTTGTTACTTCATAATACATCCAAATTATTTTTGTTAAAAAGCACTTCAAAAGCTAAGTAAGCAGCTTAATATGACCCATGACTACTTCTATGCAACTTGCCTATTCCACTTTTCCCACCCTCTATTCATATTTCCCCCCCTTATCACTGACCTGTCATCTGTGCATCCTGTAATCAAACTTCTGCTAAAATTATATGCATCTATATGTTGAAAATCATTAAATTAAGAAACAGTGACAGGTTTTTTAAGGTGACATACTTTTCTGGATGACGTATCCAGGAAGATGGAGCTTCCTTTTGGTACTCATTTAAAAGGCGGACCTGAAAACATAATTATTAAAATTATAAAATAAAGAATGCATGATCTTTCAGTAATGACAAAAAAGGTATGGAAAGTTCATTTATACCTTTTTAAGTAAACGATTTATGTCTGTGTTAGATACATCCAGACCAGCTGAAATACGAAGAGAATATTCTCCAGAAAGAAAGTACAACTCCAAGTGTCTTGCTAAAAAAGAAGGAAAAAAGACCAACCTCACCTCCATGACAACAGTGGCTGTATTATACAGCTTCATTACAAAAGTTAACTGATTTTCAGGAAGTACATGGCTCATGAAGCCTTAAATGTAATTAAAGGCACGTACCTAAACTTGTATAGACTTCTCTTGTCATATTAAATGGAGAAGAAGAAAATGTTTTTGCATAGAACCTAAGAATTTTCTCCTAAGAGAGAAAAAGTAAGCAATGTATGAAACAGTCACGTAACTGTGCATTTTTATTGCAAAATAATCAATATGTAGTGGCATTATTCTTAACATTACATATTGCTGAGATATCTCTAAAGATGTGAAGCATATTTTATAAAAATATACAGTTTGGGACCACAGAAACCTACAGTCCAAAGGAAATTTTACTCAAACACTTCAAATGACAGCACTAATGCAAAGCCTTACTGAGATACAAAGAAGCAGATCAGGGCATATTGTTGTACTTTGCCATTAACATTAATGTTTTCATGTTATTAAATGTACTGATGACTGGTAAATAGCACTGTTTCAAAAAAAATTGTAGACCTTCTAAGCTGAAAGAGAAATACAAGACAGCAGCTAGGGCAACTTTTATATGTATTTGATAATCACTTTAAAATTCAAAGAAAAAGAAAAAAAGGTTTAATTGGCATAATAAATAATCTAAACGCAGTTTAAGCAGCTGCCATTTTTTTTCTTCTTCAGTGCCTGTGTAATATTACTATGTATCATCTTCTCATGATCATGGAGGATATACCTGACTTATATCGGAAATATTAACATGACATATTTTACAGAAGAGTTTTGTCAATTTTTTTATATATGTTTGCTGAAAGACATTCTAACCTTTTCATTCCCATTAAAAGATATGTAAATGAATACTCCAGTATCTAAAAATCCTATTGAAATCCTGTTGTAATCCTTTAAATCAAGACCTACTGGAATCATATAGTTCTTTTACTTCAGAAAGAGTATCTGATATATACACAAATAATAAAATGTCTTGGGACCCTGCTGGACCACTCATAATACATATGTAACTTCTTATTCCTCTTCAGTACTCTCTAGTAAGGCTACACATCTGATAACTAAATACAGAACATTAGCTTACACTGAATGTTGCATCAGGATCTGACAGAGACATCGTTAGATGCTTACGCAGATTTGGCCAACTCTCAGAGTTCAGTATATCAGAGGGAGGAGCAAAGCACAGTGTCCGCAATGCTTCCTGGCGAACCTGAAGTGGTCAAAAAGATAAACACCACAAATGTGTTCACAGCAACCTCTCAAATATGTAATTCACAATATAATTTGGAGGAAGGAAGGAACAGGACCTGGGTGCAGAACAGATAAGGAATTCCAGAATACTTACCTTCTGCTATATTTTGTATGGTAATTTAGACCAAACACTACATCACTACATATTTGAAGAAGCGACAAACCATTTTATATAGGTTTTCAATAAAGAATGCAAGGATTATGTTCTACTTTCTGCTTGTAATCAAATATTTTGTTACCACAGAATACAGGAAACTATCATCAAATACTACAAATGTGCCTAGCAGCTCTATAAAATGTCAGTAAAGGAAAATGGAAACAGAGTTACCAGACACTATGTTTTACTGCTGAATTTTCATCAGCATTATAATGTAAATTTCAAATAACTTTTTTTTTGTTCTATTCGTAGACAACTGTAATCTCTAGTAATTTATTTCATATTACTGAAACAAACTGTAGGAAATTTTAACTATATTTAAGAGCATCAGACTTTTTACTTGGTTTCCTAATAAAACTCAAGTCACAATGTTCATACCAGTTCCCACCTACTGTGCCTTTTTCAACTGCCAGACAATCCCAAACAAATCTTACTGAGACAGCACTCTCAAAATGATGCTTCTCCAAGCTTCAAAAATATCAGCAGCTGGTGCTGATTGGTGGTTAGAGACCCAAATTAGTACTGCCACTGACAGGAAGGCAAACCTAACTTGGACTTTATATATTCCATCTGGCAGCAGCTTGTTGGCAAATCAGCAGGCATCTCTCTCTTCTGATAGGGGTAACGCAAAGGACAACATAGAAGTTACCAAGAAGGGCAAGGGGCACGTATACAGGAAGATAAGCTTCAATAACTTTACTTCTCACAGAACAACTTTTTTTCAAACTAAAAATGCCCATCTATAGCACATAAACTCCTAAGGAAAAAAAAAAAAAAAAAGATACTTGCTGAAACACAAAAGATATTTGCTGCAACACTAGTTTTTGAACCAGATGGTTATGAACAATGAAATACTGCACTGCAGAGCAGTTGCTGCACTGAAGCCAAGATACATGAACCAACAAAGACAAGATTCCACCCAGGTACATATGAACTCTTATGTACATACAGTCTGTTTTCCAATATACCATAAACATTCATCTGTATTAACATTTTTTTTCTTCTTTTAAACTTACTTCCTTAGGCTGAACAGGGTCAAGCCTTTCTGCAAGCAGCTGCAATTGTTCTTGACTCATGAATGCGTAACTCTGTAATACACATTATAAAACGATCATTAGTATATTTTATTAAACTGAACAGCAAAAGATTAAAATCATCAGTCTTTCTGATATCTAATTTACTTTTAATAATTAGGACTTCAACATTTACACTAATTTAACATTAAAGTCAACATTCTAAATGTTTTCTGCCATTTGCCCAAAGCTAAATTTACAGCAACAAAATTACTGTTACATATTTTACTTTGCTTTACTTAAGTTTCCTGTATCTTCATAAAATCCCTTATAATAGTTCATTCAGTAAATAATATAGCATAGTGCAGCTGCCTGGAAATGAACTGCACATACTTGGCTCCTAAAGTAAAATCACAGAAAGTTAGATTAGCTTTTACCATTATTTTATCTTTTTCTATGCAGTACTTGCATAGGTACTTTAGAGCACATGGGCATCATACTAATGTCATCTAGGATATGCTGTCTAAAGATTAGATAGCTAGTATAAGCTTAGTACTTCAGAGTGAAAGACAGGTAATTAATTCATTTTAGGATATATCAAAGATAGGAAGGATGAATCTTTTTTTAGGGCTGTTCTCAATCTCCACTGACAGAAACTTCACAATTTTGCAGTACCATGCTTATTTCATAACACAGAGAGAAAACACATTGTACTTGGTTGAATGAGGAGTCACTGTCAGAACAGTTGTCTGTATAATAGCCACTCTGACGTTCGTTCTTTGTTTTACCACCCAGCTCCTTACTACGCATCCGATCTTCTTCAAACTTGTTAATCAAAGATTCTACCACAACCATCATGACATTCTTCAAGGCATGCATCATTTCTCTGTATCTGAGAAGTAAAAATGATTTTAATATTAAAGAGCATCAAAATCATTAATTAAAAAAAAAAAATCATTAAATCATGAGTAACTGAATATGGCATAATGCTACTTAGACACAAACTCACTGAATTTACAGAAATGTATGAAAAAAGAAATGCAAATCCAAAATGAGCAACAAAATATGTATGTATCTTAAATGTTTCAGATAACTATATTTTGAAATTATAATAAAATTCCTTTTTGCCCTTCTAAAAGCATTCAATAAAATAACTAACATAATCCTGTTCTGGTAGGTTCTTAAGAATGAACAATGTGAATCCACCAAAAGGGAGAATCTGTCCCTGAGAAAACAGGCCAGTTCCCATCCTTGTTACTGTTTACGTTTCTTCAAGTTCAACATCCAATTTTTCTTCTGCTATAAGCCTCAAGCAGAACCAATAAAAGAGAACACATTATCCTGATTCAAGATCTTGAGTACAGGTCATGCACACAAAACAATTTTGTTTCAACAAAACCAAAACCAGGGTTTTTCTAAGTTACATAAATTGAATAATAATATCCACAAGGAAACAATTCAAAATAAAAGCTGCTTCAGAAAAACCTCCTATTGTAAAATGTTGATATTTTATTTCCAATTATTTTTTACTTTAAGGCTATTACTTATTTTACAGTCACCAAAGATATAAATTACCATATTGTGTATCCTCCTACCTCTCAAATTAAAAATATAAGATACAGACGTATTTAGTTCATTGGAGCTTCTTCTACCAACCATAACGAGCACAAGAACCCTAAGGTCCTGATCCTCAAAACAAAAAGACACAAAGAGCATAACATGAAAAACAGTCATCCTAACATCTATTTTCTAGGTGAAAATAAAAGCCAAGTGTAGATGATTAAGAACTGCTTTCTAACATAAATGACTGTACTATGAAAATACAGAATGTATCACTAAGGAGTTAAATTCCTTAACACATTTTTCTCCATAAATACTTTTAAGCATCCTACCTACCACAGAAAATGAGTAATTGTAATGAACAAAACTAGAACTTTGAATGATCCTGAAATGGTATCAAGACCACCACAGTGAGACCCAATAATGCTCCATCAGAGTTCAGAATGCTTGCAGACGGGTGACAAGAAAAGGACCCTATAAAAGCATGGTTCATAAAACATATTTCTGTGTACTTCTAGATAAGAAACCTTCTGAAAACGAACAGAAAATAAAATCTCCTAGAACAGAAACATACACTATTTTTTAATTCCTTTCTTACTGAGGACACATAGGAGACAATAGGTATCACAATAAAATCCTAGTTCCACTAAAAAGAGAGATGGAGGTGAAGTTAAGATTGTGTAAAAAAATGAGTGAGAAAAATAGTTTGGCTGAAGTAGTGTACAAAATCATTTTAGTGGCTAAAATATATGAGATTCAAAAATTGCCTTTTTTGTTTTCTTCCTCTGCAACACAAAAATGACCACCGATGCTAAAATAGTGGAGGGTCGGTTGGTTGTTTTTCATTTTTCAACATTCACCATTTCAGGTGCTCAATTTAATTTCATTGTTTATACATTGTAATGGTTCGACCTAAGTAAAGCTCTCATCATGACTCTCTGTGACAATTAAAGAGGCAAGGACCCGATTCACTGTGATGACAAAAGTATACTGTCTATTTTAATTAAAGAAACAATACTTTTAAAACTGCTTTAAGCATTATGATGTAGCTAGATTTTGTACAGGAATTCCAAAAACAATGTGATGCATAGACTAAACTTTTGAAGTTTTATGTATTTTCTAGAAAAAACAGCTGTATATACTAAAATTCATTTTATAAGTACTACTAACTACTGCTTTAAAGAATCATGGCTATTATCTGCCTATGCAAATTTGAAATCCAAAGCACGAAAATTCAGTAAGAGAGCTACCAGCCTCTGTATTCCAAGGAAAAGTTATTTTAATGGCCATAGGAAGGTGAATAGAGTTAGTAGGGAAGAGATGACTAAGAAAAGAATTTTACTGGTAGTCACAGAGGTTTTTCTATTTAAGGCTTCTTTACTAAATACAATGTTCAAAACCAATTAATCTCGTCCACAGACCCTATAATATGCTGATATGTGTTTTTGCACACCTACTGATTTCTGGCCATCTGACAGTCTGAGTCAAAAAGATCTTCGATAATTATACACAGTTGGTTCACATACCAATTCTACAGACAGCACTGTGGAAGTATCTTTGCATGTATACTAAAATACAAAGCAAGATAGCTCAAACTTCAATTTTTAAACTACTCAATGAAAGCAGATCTGACTAAACATACTACTCTCACAGGACGCCTGGTTAGATCCCAAAGAAGCAACCTTAAAAAACAAAAACCACACACTTATTTCTTTATTTATTTAGAAAACAAAATTGTCATGCAGACTCTCCATTTACATCTAAGGAAATTATCAAACTTTAATACCTGAAAAAAAAAATTTTTCCTTTAGGCCAACTTCCACATCACAACTGAATTTGATTTGCAGCTAGTGAATAGCATGAAGTAGTGATTCTTCTCTCAAATCTTACCCCTGCCCAACTCCAGACCTAGATACCTCAAGAACTTCATACATTTGCTACCTATCTTTTTACGCAGTGGTTCATAATCTTAATTCCAGAGTGAGATGAAGCATGAGAAACTGCAATGTAGGGTGGGAATATCTGAATTGCCTAGCACTGATTTTTGAAAGTAAAGAATCACTTTTGTTACCCATCGGTTCAGAATTTGTTTTTTCAAGACAAGTTCCGGAAAGGAGAAAGGAAGGCAAAGACCTAGAAGAAACAAAAATGTGAATTACATTTATATACTCACTCTTTTGATTCACGGGTCTTCTTAGTAACGTGTTGGACAAGCGTGTCATAGCCAGATACTTCACCCTGATTCTGAGCAGAAGTACATTTTTCTGTTTCTTCTTCAATCACAGATCCCACAGTATTATTTATATATTGTCTAAGGTATTTCACAAACTCATAGCTGCAACAAATATACAAAATTTAAATGTAACAAATTTCCTTGAGCTCACCATCAGATATTTTCAACTTTATATCAACATTCGCTACCTGCAACAGCAGACCTGTTACTTTAAGGTAAGGGTTTATGACTTGCAGAAAAATAAACTTCAATGGTGTAAAAAAACACAATAAAGTTTGATTTTCTTCAATATGGTCATTATCAGCCTATTCCAGGAAGAAACAATAACAAATACTTTCTAATTTCTTTTTGTGCTTCTTCTAAATGTAAAAACCTACTCAGACAAAAGTTTAAGGTTTTGTAGACAAAAATCATAGCATATCAAGAAAACTCAAATTTAAAATTCCAAAAGAAACATTACTTGGAGCATTCTGAACATAGAACTGTCTTATGGTAGATCCATCTGGTATTATTATTTACGCAGTATACAGGCAAACTGAGAAGAAACACAGAAAACACAATTTATAAATTCTAGCATATAAGCATGTCTAAGGCTTATGAAAGTCTGTGTGTCAGGACAGTATGAGGAAGATCTCAGTCAAACCGACAAACTAGCTGTCTGTGATTACATGTACGTGTTAAAGATAAGGAAATCAGCACTTTACGCTCTTATTATTAGATACTCACAGAAACTTGTTTAAACAAAAGAATAATCAGAGGGCGATTTCCAAATGAAACACTCACTGGTCCTTTCTGTATTAGCTATAGAAATTGCTAAAAAGTAGTGCTCAGAATATATAAACTTTTTTTTTTGTTAGTCTTCTGATTTGTATAAAGGACAAGGCAAACAAACACAGAAAAAAGTTATCATACATAAACAGTAGAGTATCATTATATTTTCATTATATCAAATGCAGATGTGCAACTACTTTCTGTTAATTTGGATAAATACAGAGTGAGAAAAATTCAAATAAAAAAGTCAGTTCACCATGTAGGTACAGAGTCCAAAGCTATAAAATGCAAATGTAAATGTAAATAAAAGCAGCTGTTACAACAGGCAGCAGCTTTTGCCTTTCTTGGGTATTAAAAAAAAAGAAAAAATATCAGACTACATTCAAGATACATAAAAAGAAAAAAAAAGCACAGAAAATTGTGTCTTGTATCATACATACTTCCTCACTGCTAGATTGCCTACCTCAAGTTCCATCAGATAAAAAGTTCTGCTCTTTTTTTTTTTCCTGTCATTTACCACTTATTTCCATTCCTACATCACTTTTGTTCTCAATGAAAGTAACAGAAATACATCTCAAGAAAGATGCAAACATATTTATTTGCATTTTCATTTGTCTTCAAGGCTGGTGTTTTACTTCTGCAATAATGAAATTGCACATGACTCTCCACTGAATGAAAGCTTTCATAAAACTTTCTCCCATTTGTTTTATGACAGTAACATTTCCAGGATATACGTTTTTGCAGTGACTGCGTTGCTCTGAAATACACAGCAATCACATCATTATTCATGCCACTAAGTTTATGCCTGCTTGATGTCCTAGCCTTGATCTTCTGCATCATTCTTCCACCTTAAAAATGTTTTGTAACAAATAAGTGTTTCAGCAACGACAGAACTACTACTTCACATGCAGAATCAAGTCAGACTGATCTGGTTGAGCTTACAAAGGAAGCACGGGGAGGGGGGTGGAGGGGAAGTGTTAAAAAAAACTCTAGGACTTTAAGGAAAAAAACAACAGAAAACACACTACTTCTATAGTTAAAAATCCTTATTTCTACTACTGCACATAAATTTTGAACTTGATTCAATTTTCCTTTTTATTAGCTTTTTGAGGATCCTGTGTTTCTGTCTTTTCTATGTCAAAGTGGGAACACAGGATAAAAGTAAGGCGTCAAAATCTGATACAATTACTGAGGCAAAACAACCATGAGGCAGAAACAGTGCTGATCAAAATACTGAGCTTAAGTAGCATGTTGGACAATCCAAAAGCACACACTACTAATAAAGGAGCTTGCAGTCTGGATGGATGGGGTAATGGTCAAGGAGAAAGTTTCTTAATGGTCTCACTAATAAATGGCCATATGACCTCCCTGACCTTCCATGAAAACCAACCTATACTGCTGTGGGTCATGAACAAGACTGGAATACCTCCAGAAATATTCCAGCACCAGAGAGTAATGCCCACACTCTGCATTCAAAGCACACTTGATTTTCCATTAAATGTAAGTTAAAACTTCTCATGAAATAAAAGTATCTTTAGGATCACCAATTTTTTAACACACCAGAAAGAGTAACGGATGCCATGGTTTCACTGTTCTAAAGGGGAAAGCTATGTATGCATTATTTCCAGCAGCTGTAGAATTTACTCCTTCATCCCGAGTATTCTCCTAATAAGTCCTCAGAAGAAATACTGACAGAAGTAATTTCATAGGGTTTTGGTTGTTTGAGCTTTTTTACTGTAAATATCTTCCTTTAAACAAAAAAGTTTTTCTTTCAAAACTACATGTAATTTTCAACTTTGACATGTTTATAACAAATTTTTTTACACTCCTACTTGTCACCTGGTAACACGGTGCTCAAAATTCGCAAGACTACCAACAAAAGTGTTATCTGATACAATTTGTAATACAAATTAAACTTGAGCTAAAATACATTTTGAAGGATTTAGCATCTTCAGAAGACACAAGAACATTAAAGTTTTAAAATCACAGTGAAATTTTAGATAAACCCTAGTTCTATTTCACTTATTTACTTTTACCTAACTTCTACCACTGACAAAGCAATGCTAAAAACCAGACAAATTTAAGAGAATGTAGATAGTGCCACTTCTGAAAAAACTGGCAGGGAACCAGCTTTATCAGAAGTCAGGTCACAGAACTCTGGTCCTTATTAAAACGTCTTCAGGGTTATTTCAGCTTGATACTCTCTTGACTTGTCATAAATGCATACTAAAAATCTCCCTATGTAGTAAAAAAACAAGTTAGAATACCATGGAAGGGAAAGGAGCGTGGGCTCCAGAAATGTAGATCGCATGTAAGTGAGGTCACACTGTCAAGTCTGATTTAACAGAAGTGTGATGGGGATGCTTTATTCCGCTTTATTCAAAACATAAATTAAAAGAATGACTACCTGTCAAGATACACAAGGGTTCAGTAATATAAGCCAGATAGATGAAATATGGAAGCCAAGTAGCCTTCTGAAAATTTACCTTATTGTGAAAAACAAAATTATATTGTCTGGCAGGTGTCAAAAATATTGCCTGACAGCCTTCAGTGAGAATTTCTTCTAGCTTCTGTTCGCATGTGCATTTAGTACATTACACATACACATGCATCTGAGCTGGCTAAGGTAGGTAGTTTTTTTAAGTTCCTCTCTCACAAACAGCTCATCAATTACTATTACAGTAGAGATATATTACCAAGAATGAAAAAAAAAAAAAAAAAGAAAAAGCTGAGAAAAATGGCAAAATTAATTTTATTCCCTAAATTAGCATCTTTTGAGAGTTGATTAGTGACAGGAATATCTATACATATAAATGCATACACATTCACACAGCAATATAAATTGTAAACATTTACCAGGAATAATATAGTAACACATTTCACCTCCTTTAAAGTATTAAAAATAGCAAAAATATTTTTACTTGTGAAAATTCTCATCTGTTTCCTCCAAATGCAAGAGAATCTCTTCTGCACATTCTACTGATGGGGCTCCAGTGATTTTTTCCTTCACACTCTGCAGCAACTGCCTAAGCATAGACTGTAACAGAGCTTCATCTTCATTTGTAAAGTGAGACATCTGTATAAAGCAAATATAAGAATAACAAGCTCTCAGTTTGGGGTTTTTTCTACCCTTCAAGATGGTAAGAAAAGCATAAATCCCTTAAATTGCTACTTTTTTCCTGTTATCCACAACATGAGATTTTCTATCAAAAGACATGAGCACAGACAGGAAACATTTGACAGAGCTTATCTTCAGACAAACTGGAAACAAAATAATCAAATCAGTTTTAACAACAGTTATCTTAGTACAATGCTCTTAAATGAGATATTGCATTAAGAAAAGCCTGAGTATTCCTGTTCATAGTCGCTTGAGGACTTGCCCATCAAATAGGCACAAGACTACAGTCTAATTTAAAAAAAGGGGGTGGGGGGGGTGGGTACAGCTGTAATGACTGTTATCTTGATGGGAAACCTCTACAAGTCTCTCAGCTGGTCCTCATTCACTATTACTAGGCAGTTCTGACATTTGGATCCCTCTACCCAGAGCTGTTGCTGTGCTGGTGATGGAAGGTGCTGGCAGCTTTTGCAAGGGCCAGGTGGAATTATCAGAACCATTTAATTTCCCTATGGTAATCACCTGCAGTGACCTGACAAAGTCCTGTCAATTTAACCCTACAGCTACTGGGAAAAACTGGGAGAAGCAGCAGCAGTGAGAAACTGGAAACATCTGTCAAGTCCAGAAGACAGCATCTTATCACTTTTATTTTCAAGGGTTGCAAAGAAACCCAAAAGCTCCATTTCTATCTTGATTAATTAATTAACCTAAATTCACGGCTTAAAGTTCTTTATATGCCAAGGAATATTTCCAACCCCCAGTGGCAGTTCTACCTCATATATTTCTAGTCTATTTGAGGAAGAACGATGTAGAGACCTTTGACTTTTTTTTAATTTAAAAAGAAAAAAGTCAATCAATGACTCTATAAGCACCTGTGAATAAAAATACACACACTTGGAAGAGACTATATAATAAATCACTTCTTCAGACTTAAACACTATTAACTAACAAAAAAAAAAAAAAAATCGAAGCCATACAGCACCAGCTGGAGGAGTTACCCTTTAGGAGAGGTAACGGTCCCTTGAGTTAGCAGTTCTCTCTGGTAAGGAGCACAGTTGCTGAATGTTTTACTGTGATCAAACATTATTCAGCATTAACTCAATCATCTTACCAGAAATAGCATTAAAATAAAGTTAAAAACAAAACAACAAGAAAACACACAAAACACTTGTAATAAACTTAACTCCACAATTTGCAGTCCTCTTTCTTATAAATTAGCATCTCAAGATATTTAATCAAAGTCAATGCATTTTTAGGTCCGTATAAACCACTCTCATAAGTCTTACATTTTGACCCTAGCATTGAACAATACCCTAATCCCCTGCAAAAAACTTCACTCAGTATTTTGGTCTGACGAGGCATTTTTAGAAGTGCAAGTATCTGGATACCGGTTGGCAATCAGTGCAAAGCCCCACTCAAACTATTCATAATTGCAAATCATGAGTGTTGCAGTTTCACCTCCAGTTTGCTTTGAAAACTCTTACTTGACTTATGTACTAACAGAGATGGTTATCTTTAATTTGTAAAGGTTTGTGGTTTGTTGTGTTTGGGTTTTGGTGGTGTTTGTTTGGTTTTTTTTTTTCCTCAGCAGGTATATCCCCCATTCAGTTTCTGGGTAAAATTTAAAGGACCATTTTCTCCCTAAAAGACCTCTACCCCAAGCCCACTTTGTGCAGTCTTTTCAAGTACAAATTCATTTTCCCAGCACCATCCCACAACGGCAAATTCTGCCCCAAAACCCAGGGGATGATTCAGAAGCGGCCTGTCGTTGCCAGCACTTATCCTTTCACAAGCCTTTCCCTGAGCAAGGCTTTGCACAGAAAAACCGATAATTTTAGCAACAAACCAAACGGCAGCAGTTACCAGAAATACGAGTAGCGCGAGAACTCCTACCCCTTCTCGATTTGTACCGTCAGTCATTCGACCCCCCTACCAGTTTTTTGGCACTGAACAGATTTCTAGTGGCAACTCGCCTATGAGAGCGGCTTGTCCTTTCAGAAGCGCCAGGCGAAGAGGCTAACGCCCTCACCAGCCCCTTCCCTCACGCTATCGCTAAAAGCGCGGAGGGGCGAGCCCGCCTCAGCACCGCGGCTGCCGCAGCCGCCCTCCCCTTACCCCGCGGGGAGGTCTCCGAGACGTCCCGGCCCCAGCGGCCCACACTCCCGGTCCCGCCCAGCCCCAGGCTCCGGCCGGGCCCCGCGGAAAGCGGCGTTCACCCCGAGCCTTTCCCCCCCGCACCCCGGGCCGGCGGGAATCACCTTGAGGCGGCGGCGGCCGCGCAGTTTCCCCGGGCG